TCAGCCATAGCACACCATAATACAGTCAGCCATAGCACACCATATTACAATCAACCATAGCACACCATATTACAGTCGGCCATAGCACCATATAACAGTCAGCCATAGCAAGTGGCTTTCGTGCATTTGCCGCATTCGGGCAAGTGTCCATTTGGGAAATCGGCCTTCGGGAAAACGGCATTCGGGCAAGTGTCTTTAGGGAAAACGTCCGGCTCCCATGTTATTGATATTGTTCAACTTTTTCTCAGCCTATGTTGTTTGTGTGACTCTGAGTTAGTGATGTAAAAAAAAAAAATACTCAGCGCTGTTTACAAAAACGAAATCTGATATACGCCATCACACTTTACACAACAATAACAACAGGCATCTTGTGTGAACACCGGATTTAATGCGCGGACGTCAAAGAAAACCAACAACACACAAAAACAACAAATATTTTAGACCGAACAACCTAAAAAAAAACTGGATCAAATTGCATCACTTCCTGCTAAAATAATTGTTTTTAAAAATACAAAAGGTGTAAATTGATAGCCGACAAAAACAAACAAAAAAACACCAAATTGCCATTACAAAGTTAACCTCAGCTCAACTAAGCTCAGCCATGAATTCGTTTTTTTAACTTTTAAAAATGCTGGTGTTGGTTTTGTTTAAATGTGTTGGCGATTGATGGATTATTTAAGGCGGAATTTAACAGCAAGTAGAGAGGTACAAGAAAAACCTTTTGATACGTTAAAAGTTCCCTAAAAACAACCACACTTTAAGATTAAGATTTTACATTATTAAGAAAACAAATCATCACATTAATAAACTTTTAATGCTTGTGCGATCAATGAGGCCTTGGGTCAGCTGTGACGTTTTCACAGAGAACCAATTAAAGCAGCTGTTAAAATCGTAAGCCCCATCTATATATATAATTCTCTTCATGGGGACCATAGAAGACACCACGCAGCTTAGCCGCCACCCTGTCAGGTGAGCTGTGGTTGACACCGAATGTTTACAATATTAGAGCCGGTTCGATAAGTGACGGCTATTAGGGGCAGATAATTTAGTTTTTAAACGATTTGAAACTAAGGGGAGATAATAAGTTCTGCTTGATATTTTCATTGTCGTCTGTAAACGGCTGTTTTCACTGGGCCTGGGTGGGATGGGGGAGGCAGGGGGGATGGGGTAGTGTCGAATTCACAAATTATGAATGGTTGATAAGTAGAAAATAAAACAACTAGATAGCGGCGTATGCTACGTCGCGGGTCAGCTCGTATAAAAATAATCTGTTATGAAAAATTGGGAGGAAACTCTATGAAGTTCCTACTTTTAAATTATCAGTGCTCAATCATAATTTTCTAGGCGTGTTTTGCTTTGTAAAATAGATTTGTACGCAACAATAGAATACAGTAGTTTACTAAACACAATTCAAAAGTTGGCTAAAACATACTCGCGTCTTTCTATGCATGGGCAAACATTAATCCATTCTAATTAATAAATTAAGCCACATGTTCACATAAGAAAAATGAGACTAGATGAAATTACAGGAATGGCGCTGCACGGAAAAAGAAAATAGGGAAGGCCAATGGAGAAGTGGGGGAGGGGAGGGGGAACGGGGGACTCTCAGGAGAAAAACAACAGACAAAAGCCAGACTATCCTAGGGAACTGCCCAAAAAGTTGCCAGAGACCGGTAAAAGTTAAAAGAGTTTTCTGTGGCAACCAGTGTTTCTTTCAGACTTTTTTCTCAGGTGGGGGCCGGGAGTAAGGCGCTTGAAACTTTTGGGGAGGAGGGGGTGGGGCAGACACTGGTAAAAAGTATATATTTTTCAATATAATTTTATATTTCGTTCGGTGGAGGGGGTGGGGCGACCCATGTGTCCTCAGTACTGAAGAAAAAGGATGACGACGAACTAATACATTAATTAATTAAATGGGTACCTGATATATATTTCAAATGTTAAGTTTGACCTCGTTGGACTTAAATTAAACTATCACCGATCTCCTAGTGGCGTATGTAAGTAAAAGAAGTTCGAAAATTGAAACTCGATTTTTTTTTAGTGGACTGACGTAAGTCATTTAAAAATCAATCGGCTTCATGTCCCTGTATCGTCGAGTCGTGTGTCCCCCCCCCCCCCCCCCCCCACCACCCGCGCTTGCCCGAGGGAGTCTCTTCTCATGGTAATCACCATGAACACGTCCCGGCATTATCGTGTGAACACGGTATAAGAAAGCGAGCTCTCGAAGCGTGAATGGATGGGGACAGAGACTAAATTGGGCTGTCGACACCGCATGCACGAGTTTGTTCCCTTGAATGAGTCTTTTTTTTTAAGTTTAAGTAATCTCCCTTTAATTTTTTTTTAAAGAGATGGGGTTGGCCGAACAGTGAGTATCACAAAGGATATGTGTGTATGTATGGTGTGTGTGTGTGGGGGGGGGGATTTGTTTTGATGTCACTGACCATATGTCACGTGTTGTGTCACGTGCGAAGCTTGATGGTCTGTTGGATGAAAAGTGTGAGTAATCGGATGATTTGAATCGTCTGCTTAAGGGGGGTGGAGGGGGGTGAGTTGGTGGTGCCCTCCGGCGGCAATTACTTTTTAATAGATTCACTTTAGAAGAGCAGTGTAAATAGTGATTTACAGGAGGAGTGAGGGTATATAATGATCAACAGAAAAAGAGAGGTATATAGTGAGGTAAAGACAAAGAGAGGAATATAGTGAACTACAGAAAAAGAGAGGTATATATTGAAGTACAGAAAGTATATATGGGCGCTAATGATATAAATAAAAAATAAAACTTTATTTGGAAAAAAATTCAACGGCTTTTAAATAAAGTTTATGAAAGCTTGTAACTATCTATACCTGTATAAACGGTAGATTGCATAACATACACCCCACCCTCATACATTCACACCCTCATACAATCTCGCACTCATACACCCCCACCCTCATACACCCCCACCCTCACACCCCCACCCTCATACACCCCCACCCTCATACACTCTTGCACTCATACACCCCCATCCTCATACACACCCACCCTCATACACCCCCCACCCTTATAATCCCCTCTCTCATACACTCCCACCCCCACCCTCATACTTCCCCTCCCTCATACACTGCCAACCCCACCCTCATACGCTCGCACCCTCATACACCCCCTCACTCATACACCCCTTCACTCATACACCCCCTCACTCATACACCCCCTCACTCATACACCACCTCACTCATACACCCCCTCACTCATACACCCCCTCACTCATACACCCCCTCACTCATACACCCCCTCACTCATACACCCCCTCACTCATACACCCCCTCACTCATACACCCCCTCACTCATACACCCCCTCACTCATACACCCCCTCACTCATACACCCCCTCACTCATACACCCCCTCACTCATACACCCCCTCACTCATACACCCCCTCACTCATACACCCCCTCACTCATACACCCCCTCACTCATACACCCCCTCACTCATACACCCCCTCACTCATACACCCCCTCACTCATACACCCCCTCACTCATACACCCCCTCACTCATACACCCCCTCACTCATACACCCCCTCACTCATACACCCCCTCACTCATACACCCCCTCACTCATACACCCCCTCACTCGTACACCCCCTCACTCATACACCCCCTCACTCATACACCCCCTCACTCATACACCCCCTCACTCATACACCCCCTCACTCATACACCCCCTCACTCATACACCCCCTCACTCATACACCCCCTCACTCATACACCCCCTCACTCATACACGCCCCACCCTCACACATTCACCTTCTCATTAACAGAAAAACTAGAACTCAACAGTAGTGAAAGAATCACGGTGTGTCACGTGTGTGCTATTCTTGTCCCTGAGACTTAGGCCTACGTGTCACTGTGCCGATGACAGAGGATGAATGTTTCATGAAGAAATTCTGTGGCGGTTGTTGCGGGTTGTGTTGGCGGTTCCGCCGTCGTCTCCTGCATAATGTAGCGTTAGAAAACACCTCCGACAATAGAGACAAAATATCACAATACAGACGATACGTCATATAAAAATAGACACAAAACACCACACACAATACACACAAAATATCTCACACAATACACACAAAACATCCCACACAATACACACGAAACATCTCACACAATACACACAAAACATCCCACACAATACACACAAAACATCTCACACAATACACACAAAACATCTCACACAATATACACAAAACATCCCACACAATACACACAAAACATCCCACACAATACACACAAAACATCTCAGACAATATACGCAAAACATCCCACACAATACACACAAAACATCTCACGCAATACACAAAACATTTCACACAATAGACATAGTTGTTACATCGAGTAGAGTGAAAATCACGATCGCTTAAAGGTCCGAGATTTTACGGACTGGTGTGTAGTGTGTGTGTGTGTGTTCGGGCGTAAGTTAGTGTGGGTTTGCATCAAATGGTAGTGGTATAGGATTGACCCAAGGTGTAACCAGCTTAACGACATTGCCTGAAAAATTTAGTGTCGCGAGGAAAGTTTGAAAACTTTGTATGCTAATGACGGCCGCGCTCACACAAAAAGAAAAGAGATCCTATTTCGATTCTTTTGTTTTAAATAATTGATTATTTTTGCCCCTTTATTTTCCATTGCATATATGGGTGGTTTAAATAATTGATCATGTTGACATTCTAGATGGCTTTTATTCTGGTATATTTCTTCTATCTTATTTTTTTTTTAATAATACAAAACATAATGAGCGGGGGGAAAAACTGGTTTATGTCTATTGAATATTTCAAAGGGAAATAATTTTTAAAATATTTATAACAAGATGCCTTGTATGTAATGTAACTCTTTTACAGTAAGCTTCTTAAGTTTTCCTTTACCTTTTTTTAAATAAAAATTTTCAGTAGAATAAAATAAAAATATAAAAACCCCTTTTTTTTTTAAAAAAAAATAGCGTGTTATTTCCCTTTTTACTTGTATTTTCAGGCCTAGAAGCGTTGTAACGACTGAGAACAAGAAAGGGGAAATTTTTCTGCTAAGACACAACAAAAGAGAGTTCCGGTGTTTATCGTCTGCAAGGGAGCCCAAAAACAAATTATACGAAAACTCACAGTTTGTCTGTTTATATTTCAAAGATTACACGATTATCATGTCACTGCACTAAACCTCAAGCTGGAATTTTCTCCTTTGGTAAAATTTACGAGTAGAATTTTTAAAAAAATTTACCACGCGACTTCGCCTCATGAGTTGTCTCCCTTGGTAAAACAAATTCAGCTTCTCTCCCTTGTCCAGACATCAACGTGTAAGTCTACACCTTAATGTACCCGACACGGTGTAAAAATAAAAATGGTGCTGTGGACTTTATGAAAAAATATTAAATCAATATTAACTTAGACAACAAAAAATTAAATCAATATTAACTTGAGACAACAACAAAAATTACCGAGTCTGTTGACGAAATTAAACATTTACTATGCTCCTGCTTGCGTAAACATCAAACCAGTTCATTCCGCGCATGCGCAATGGGAGCCCAGACGTCGAAACGAGACAAAATCAACAGCGTCACCAACAGCGATAAGTCGAGCCACCGGAAGAAGTACCTGCCCCAGACCAACGGGGCCACGACCAACGGGACCGGGGACGACCCGCGGTCCCCCTCGATCGAGGAGCACCCGGTGGAGCTGCCCACCTTCACGGCCCGCCAGAAGGAGCTGGTCACGGAGACGTGGAGGCTCGTGCAGGAGGACATGGCCAAGGTGGGCGTGGTCATGTTCATCAAGTAAGTCGCGTGGGCGTGGTCAGGCTCATGTCTCATTGGTTCTATGTGGGCTTGATCATTTTCATCAAGTAAGTCAGGTTCATATCTTCGTTTATTCTTGGTGGGCGTGGTAATGTTTATCAAGTAAATCGCGTATGTTCTTGGTGGGCGTAGTCATGTTCCTGTAACGTTTGTCCTATGTAGGCGGGGTCATGTAAGTGTCACGTTTGTTCTATGTGGGCGTGGTCATGCTCATCAAGTAGGTCTCATTTGTTCTTGTTAGGCGTGTTTAGGTTCATGTCTCATTTTTTCTTGGTGGGCGTGGTTCATCAAGTCAATCTGGTTTGTTTTTGGTGGGCGTGGTCAAGTTGATGTGTGGTGTGATCTATGTGGGCGGGGTTATATACGTGCTATGTTTGTTCTATGTGGGCATGATCAGGTTCATCAAGTAAATCGCGTTTGTTCTTGGTGGGCGTAGTCATGTACGTGTCACGTTTGTTCTATGTGGGTGTGGTCAGGCTCCTCAAGTAGATCTCAATCGTTCTCGGTGGTTGTGGTTAATCAAGTCAATCTAGTTTGCTTTTGGTGGGCGTGGTCAAGTTGATGTCTCGTTTGTTCTCTGTGGGTGAAGCTTGTTCATCAAGTAAGTCTGGTTTTCTTTGTGGGCGTGGTCAAGCAGGTCTCTTTTGTGCATTGTGGGTGTGGTCAGGTTCATGCATCAAGCAAGTCTGGTTTTCTTTGTGGGCGTGGTGAGGTCCATGTCTCATTTGTTATTGATGGTAGTGGTCATGTCATCAAGTGAGCTTTGGTTGTTGTTGGTAAGCAAAGTCACGTGCCTATCTAGTTGATTCCTTGTGGGCGTGGTGATTAAATCTTTGAACTCTTTTTGTTGGTGCACACCCCCCTCCCTCTCCAACGGAATGGTAAATTTTCGCCCTCAAACGTTAAATCTAGATCACTAGCTGGTGATAAATAACGCGGCATCGATACTCTAATCAGCTAATTTAAAAATATGACTACATGCACTTTCGGGTGTCTTCTTGTTCGGTACCGATACAGTAAAATTTTAATTACATCTAAAACATCACCAATATACAACTATGTAGGTGGTCCTACATTTAATGACAAATTATCTTCCCCTTGTTCACCAAGCCTGTGTGAGAAGAGTTTACCCCCTTTAGAAACTCCCCCAGACGCTTATGGTTGGTGACGGGCCATTTAATGATGTAGTACAGTTAAATGGAAGAATACCTGAATGCTATCCACGACCTTGAGTAAAATAGTTTTTAAAAATAAATAAATTTTTTTTTTTTTTTTTTTTTTATTTTTTATTTTTTTTTTTATTTTTTTTTTTTTTTTATGCCCCTGGAACGTAATCCCCCGGACCAATCAAGGACGACAACTCGAGTCACGACAAAGCCACACATCCCCACCCCCCATCCCCACTGACACTGTAGATGGCATTGACCCAGTGGCGGAACTAGAAAAAAAGGGCCACCCCGCAAAAAAATATTTAGGGCCCCCCCCCATATATATATATATATATATATATATATATATATATATATATATATATATATATATATATATATATATATATATATATAAACACAAAATACGAACATATGATACTTATTGCTGGCCTGTTCTAGTTGTGAAAAAAAATATTTTTTTTTTCAATTAAAACAAATTTACATCGTGTCAAAATATGTGTGTAGATCTAAGTGCTTTATTGTATTTTGTGAAAATCAGTTTTATCTTATTTCTAGTTTAATACACCTGACCCACTCTCAATCAAAAGATTATAAAATATGAAAGCTTTGAATAAGTAATGGTGTCTAGTATTATGTTTATTTTTTTTTGTAATTAAATTATTAATTTTAAATACATTTCCTTTTTATACAATGTCATTCTTTAGTAAGTTTAGTAAGTACTTTATAAAAAAAATAATAATTAAAACAGGTATTTGCTTTTTAATTTGTTTAGTACAAATCTATTAAATGGAGCTTATGAGCACCCCTGTTTGATTTTTTAAAGAAGGGAAATAAGTCATGGAAGTGGTTTCAACGTTTGCTTATCTTTGATAAGTTTGATTGTTGACGAAAGATGACTCGGCTTTCACTAGGGTTTAAAAACAAAGGGAAAAAGAATATACAAGAGTGTGGTATGGTCTCTATAGAATAAAGATAAACCAACCGCAGCTATAGTATTCTTTTTAAAAAAACAACCATCAAGTCAAAACTGCAAGAAAATTATTTTTTTTAACTATAATAATAATTATTATGGGCGGCTTTGGGCCCCTAAATGGCGTGGGCCCCCCCGCATTGCGGGGTCTGGCGGCACTGTAGTTCCGCCCCTGCATTGACCAACAAGCGACCACACATAAATCCAATAATAGTTTTCTGTTCGGAAAATATTACCCAACTTTTTGGTGAGTACTTATTTCGGTTAACGGCGATCTATATTTAGCTTCTATTATAGGCAAACATATTTTTAGAATTTTTGAACGGAAGCTTGACTGATTTTATATAATACAATACTTTGAGATTATTTCTGAGTGTTAGAGTGGCAGCTGTTAAGAAGATTGTGGGTTCGAAAGCGGGTAAAGCCATGGTTAATTACAATAGCAGTAATAATTATACGCATTATACCGAAATAAAGAGTTAATGTTAAAGGTTAGGAGTTGTGAATTCGGACAAGGTGTTATATTTCGTACCTGGGTTAGTCTAAGAAAATAATATTAACGAGTTTTACCAAAGAAAATATTAATAATTTTAACTGAATGGATGAAATAATCATCATAGGTAAAGGCCATAAACACAGTATTTATTTTCTCAACAGCTTATTGACTGAAATAAGCACTGAATTTATTTCCTCAACAACCGACCGAAAAAAAAATCCACAGCGTTTATTTCTTCGATAAACGATTCACCGAAATAAATCACTTTTTTTCCGTCTCCCATTGACCGAAATAAACACTACCCTACTTTTCATTATGTCCATCTGTGTTTAGATCCAACTATGGGTTGAAAAACAGAAAAAACAAAACACCCAGACGCGACGACAAGCAATCCAATAATAGTTTTCTAAATTTTAAAAGATCTAACTCTACTTTTTTGCTATTTTCATCTATTTTTAGCTCCAAGTTGAATAACCCCCCCCCCCCCCAAAAAAAAATCCCCGACCTCCCAGCCTATGACCTAACTTGAGGCTTTTTTTTAAAACTCCGAGGCTGAACAAACAGGTTGTATACTTTAGAGGTTTTATTCCAACCCCAAGGGAAATAATCAGGAGGAGACTAACAGGGGCCGTAATATCTGTCAGACAGATTTCTATGGGAACATGTCCTGTCTGTCCCAGACAATAATTGTCTTGGCTGTGGAATCGATTACGTTAGAGGCTAAATAGTTGTTCTAAAAATAGACTTTGTCTTTTTTTTTAGAAAGGTTTTGTAAAGCCAAAAAAAAAATGCAATTTCCTTTTTGTACTTTCGAGGCAGTGCGCAAGTTCCCAAGAAAAGGTTATATCATTTTACACAATGGTGTTGTAATGACGTCTTACATAACGATATATGGGGTAAAGAAATCTAAAAGTATCATGTTTCACAGTTATATAATAATTGAACAATCCCTTCATTTTTATTCTTTTTTAAAAAAATATTTTATACTGTTAAATTTTTTTTTGAAGCTACATATTTTTAGTTACCCCCATTACTTTTTTAACAGACACAATAATGATATTTTTGACATTTCAGTAAACTTGCTTTGTCTATAGTGCTTCGTACATCCGTCATGTGTCGAAACTTGCGAGCGAAATTTCGATCACTTCAACCAGACCGATTTCTTTTAAACTTGGAACACGATGACAATGTAATGTGACAGCAAATTTGACTTAATTGGATACTTTATTAATATTTTGAGATTAAATAAAGTTACCTAGAAAGTACTAGTATTCCACGCTATTTTACGCACATTGTTTGTGTTCTTGTGGAGTGCCATAGTTTTTAGTTATGTATTAACTAATTTTAAGTGTTGAAATTTAAAAAAAAAATTGTTAATCAGTTGCATTGATATATCATCATCATCATCATCATCATCATCATCATCATCATCATCATCATCATCATCATCATCATCATCATCATCATCATCATCATCATCAATTTTACCGCCCCCCCCCCCGAACGAAATGAAATTTATATAGAAAATATATACTTTTAACAGTGTCCGATTGCCCCCCCCCCATGAAGAAAGTCTACCCCCCCCCCCCCCCGAAAATTTCAAGTGCCCCCCCCCCCCGGAGAAGAAACACAGATAACCATCACCATCATCATCATCGTCATCATCGTCACCATCACCATAATCATCATCTTCTTCTTCTCTCAAAGCTCATGGGCGCACGAGGCATCAGCAAGTGGGCACCATTTCGTCTTGTCTCTTGCTAGAACCTCTGCCTGTTGGCTTACTAGGCTAATTTCCTTCAACACTTTCTCATTTGATCTTGTCCTTGTTTTCTCTGGCCCTGTGGTGTCCATCTGAGAACAGTACTAGCCAATGTGTCTGCGCTCATTCTCAGCAATTGACCCCCCAACCCTCTCCATCTGATAACTACTGTAAATAGTTGAATGAGTGTTCGCAAAGGGATATAGTAAAGTAAGCAGTTTCCTTTCAAACCTAACGATCTATTGGGCAGATGAAGTAGAGTTCGCCCGTTTCTGTGACCTCGGCATATGAAGAGATAGTGTGGCCAGCACTATGCCCAGCAGCCTTTACTTTCCCTAATGTGAGTAAGGTACTCATCAGAGCTGGGTAGACTCAGGGACAGCCTATTCTCGGGTAAGCAGTCTAGCGCTCTACCGCTAGGCCACTCCGTCCCCGCAAAGGGATATTCTTGGTTAAAATTGTCTGAATTGTCTAAAAACGTCAATTCTGTAAAAGCTTAAATCGTCTAAATTCTCAAATCGCACGATAACTCAAAGTGTTCGATAGCTCAAATGGTCTAAACGCTTAAATGATCAATTA